CTCTAGCCCGGGCAACAGAGTGAGACTCTGTCTCAAAAAAAAAAAAAAGGCACAAGGATGTAAAACATTTACTTTTTATAAACCTAGCATAATCCTGAATTTCTTATGCAAGGAGTACTCAATTAGTTCTCCTAATAGTCCAGAAACTGGACTTTCTTAGCATCATGTTTGTTGTTTTAATGTATGACCATTTCATTCATATAAAAGATCAGTGGCTTTGGGGGATAGTTAATAAATTTTGCTTAACTTTTAAACAAAATTACTAAAAAACTTTAGAAGTTTACTGTTTTGCTTTTTTTTTCCAGCTAATTCAAATTTGGAGCCAGTAACATTGCTCAAAATATACTTTCCTACATTCTAGGAGGTGAGATGAGTCTTCCATCTTAATCCTGAATAGCTTATGACATTGAGTCATAAGAGTCTGCTTTATCACAGACTGTGGCTCCTAAAAACTGAGGAGTGAATAAATTATTATGTAAATGACTTTGTTCCCAGGCTTTTTGTACTGTGATTACTTGATTTCTTCCTTAGGAGGGTTGTCCCACATTTTAATTTTTCAAACTGCTGTTAAACCATTTTAATTAATGTTGAGCACTTACCGCACAGAAGGTTCTGCCAAGAACTGTAAGCATATTAAAATATGAAATAGCTATTTAAAAGGTTTTAATAACATTAAAATTTACAGCATCCTTAATGTGTTAAATAAATTTGAAATAATTGATGCTGTGAAAAATATAACTTTAAACATGAGTACAACATAAAACTCATTACCAAATTTTCATAACAATTTTGTAATCTATCATTTTGGCCCCAAGCCTTCCCACGTATTTCAGTCACCATTTTTACCTTTGCTTCTCAAAGTGTGGTCCTTAAAATGGCAGCATCAGCATCTGTTGGGTGCTCAGAAATTCTAGGGCTCTATGCAAACATCTGAGTCAATCTGCATTTTAACTAAATCTCCAACAAATGTTATCATGCATATTTTTTCTTTTTTTGTCTCTCTTTTTTTTTATTTAGAGATGGGATCTTGCCATGTTGCCCAGGCTCATTTTGAATCCCTGGCCTCAAGCAATCCTCTTGCTTCCACCTCCCAGAGTGCTGTAATTACAGGCATGAGCCACCACACGTGGCCTCTCATGCATGTTAAAGTTTGAAAAGCAAAGATACATACAACTAACAATCAGCATCTTAAAATAATACAAGTTGAGTATCCCTTATCCAAAATGGTTGGAACCCAAAGTGTTTCAGGTTTCAGATTTTTTATTTTGGAATAGTCATACTATATTCAAGCATTCCTTGGAGATACTACAAGTTCAGCTCCAGACCACTACAATAAAGCAAATATCACAATAAAGCAAGTCAAATGAATGTTTTGGTTACCCGGTGCATGTAGAAGTTATATTTACACTATAGTGTATATATACACTACTGTATACAGTATTGTTAAGTGTACAATAGCATTATCTAAAAAAAGTACATACCTTAATTTAAAAATGTTGCTAAAAGATCCTAACCATCATCTGAGCCTTCACCAAGTCGTAATCTTTTTGCTGGTGGAGGGTCTTGCCTCGGTGTTGATAGCTGCTGACACGGATCAGGGTGATGGTTGCTAAAGTTGGAGTGTCTGTGGCAATTTCTTTAAGACAACAGTGAAGGTTACCACATCAGTTGATTCTTCCTTTCACAAGAGGTTTCTCTCTGTAGTATATGATGTCGTTTGATAGCATTTTACCCAAAGTAGAACTTCTTTCAAAATTGGAGTCAATCCTTTCAAACCCTGATCCTGCTTTATCACCTAAGTTTATGTAAAATTCTAAATCCTTTATTGTCATTTCCTAATTGGCTTAATTTCAATATTATTGTGTCTCAGGGAATAGGGAGGCCCAAGGAAAGGGAGAGAGATGGACAAATGGCTGGTCATTGGATCAGTCAGAACACAGAACATTTATCAATTAAGTTTGCCATCTTGGCTGGGTGCGGTGGCTCATGCCTGTAATCCTAGCACTCTGGGAGGCCAAGGCGGGAGGACTGCTTGAGCTCAGGAGTTCAAGACCAGCCTGAGCAAGAGTGAGACCCCTTCTCTACTAAAAATAGAAAGAAATTAGCCAAAACAACTAAAAATAGAAAAAAT